AAAGAAAAATTGATTTGTTTAAATGTTTTTATTCATCTACAAAATACATAATATTATGCATACTAATTATTCTTACTAATAATTAAAAATAGAATCATTAATTAAACTAATTGTAATGTATAGTTTATAAATGACTTTGGAGATGTATTAGGTGATATACAAAGCAAACTCAGTCCACCAGAATCCTTGACCAAGATAAAACTGCACCGCGGAACAGGATTTTCAGTTAAGATCAAGGAATTGCGATCACAGTCGGTGCATACACATACACACACTACACGCATACACTAGAGACAGAGATAGACTCGGTACTCTCACAAGTATAATACCACTCTTTGACTTCTTGTATCCTTGCGGTTTTGGAATTGCAATGCGACAATGGCAGCCTTGAGGCGCATGCAGCAAAGCAAGCGTTAGACTTTTTGCATCCAGCCGACCGATCTTAATAACATTGCCACCTTGAACTTTATTACTTTGCGTTTCCTCATGGCCTGGGAATCGAAAGCAGCGTCGCGACGCTTTCTATTCTAATCCATTATTAAACAATTATTAATATTACTGTCTCGACTCTAAACGTTTTATGCATATACATTCATTAATTCTCTCTTTTTACCTTTCACAGCTTCATCTCCGATTACAGTCATTATCCAAACCTTAATCCTGCTTCACTCTTAAGGATCTACATGCTAATTGGAGAGAAAAAAAAAGAAATAATGAACAAAAAAAAAACAAACAGGATTTAACAATCAAATTGTAAGAATAAATTATTATATATTTTTTTTTTACAAATTAGTGGAATAATTATATATTTAAGCTAATTAACAAAATTATAATTAGAAATGCAAAAAGGATGAAAGAAAGTCTTCTATAAATTAAGAAAGATCAAAGAAAGTCTATAAATTTCATGAAATAATCTCATAAACTTCAAAGAAAATTTGACAACTTGTCACGATTACGTTCACAGCTTCTTTTTTCTTCAATTCTGTTATCTCATCTCGGTAATAGATAAATCACTTGTAATGTTAACTCTAGATTTCAGCAAATACAACCAAGAAAGAAAGAAAAAAAGACTTTCTTTTATCGAATAAGAAATTATTGCGATAAAAAAGTAACCGGCTTCTTTTTTTTTTTGGAAGTTTTACTTATATAAAGTTTAGTTATGGTATAGGTTTTAGTTTGATATTCAATGGTTTCTCACAATGTTTTAGATGAACAAAAAACGAAAGAAATTATTTTAGAAAATATCAATCAATCAACTAAATCAAATGATAAAAAGGTAAAATTTTGTAGTTTTCTAAAAATAGATTATTTGACATATTTTGTGATGAATATAACTTGACTAGAAAATATAATTGCGTATTGACTTTTTAATTACAATAAAAGGTATAGTTTTTTTTTTAATTTCCAAAAGTTGAATATTTGATAAAATTTATGATGAATAACAAGAATTTACTAGAAAACATCATTATATAATATTGATTAAAGAATTTTTAAAAAAAGTATAATTTTGTAGGTTTCTAACAAAGAATTGTTTGAGAAATTTTGAAATAATTATAACAAAAAATAAAGTTTTATCAAATTTCCAAAAGTTGATTATTTGATAAAATTTATGATGAATAACAACAACAGTTGACTAGAAAACATTATTATATAATATTGACTAAAGAATTATAAAAAAAGTATAGTTTTCTAGGTTTATAACAAAGAAATATTTCAGCAATTTTGAAATAATTACTACAAAAAATAAAGTTTTATCAAATTCCCAAAAGTTGATTATTTGAGAATATTTTTGATGAATAATAACAAAAATTGACTAAGAAACATCATTATATAATATTGAGTAAAGAATTATAACAAAATGTATAATTTTGTAGGTTTCTAACTAAGAAATATTTGACAAATTTTGAAATAATTACATCAAAAAATATAGTTTATTTAAATTTCCAAAAGTTGTTTATTTGATAAAATTTTTGATGAATAATAACAAAAATTGGCAAAAAAACAAACAGTATTTAACAATCAAATTATAAGAATAAAAATATTTTTTTTTTACAAATTAGTGGAATAATTATATATTTAAGTTAATTAACAAAATTATAATTAGCAATGCAAAAAGGATGAAAGAAAGTCTTCTATAAATTAAGAAAGATCAAAGAAAGTCTATAAATTTCATGAAATAATCTCATAAACTTCAAAGAAAATTTGACAACTTGTCATGATTACGTTCACAGCTTCTTTTTTCTTCAATTCTGTTATCTCATCTCGGTAATAGATAAATCACTTGTAATGTTAACTCTAGATTTCAGCAAATACAACCAAGAAAGAAAGAAAAAAAGACTTTCTTTTATCGAATAAGAAATTATTGCGATAAAAAAGTAACCGGCTTCTTTTTTTTTGGAAGTTTTACTGGGAACCGAAATTTTTCGGGCAATAAATTAAACGGTCGCGTTCCGAAGATGAAGAGAGTTGAGAGACGAGAACAAGAAAGAAGGAAGGAAAAAGCAGCTCGTAAATCCATCTGCCGTTTCGGCTTTTAATGATGATTGGTGTCTTAGTTATCTACCAGGTTGTAGTCGCTCACCATCGTCTCTCCTGTTTTCATCCTTCCCTCCGCATCATCATACACATAATGCGATTCTGCGATCATCTGCTTCCCACATAAGTCAGGCGAATCCAGGTAAAAGTAAAAGGGTTCGCTCAAAAAAAAAATTGTACCTTCTTCTCTCTATATTTTTTTTTACGCTAGGCGAAAGGTGCGCATTTTTTTCCCTTTCGATCGCCGAAAAGATATAATCACTTCCTCGTTCTTCACCTTCTCCCTTTTTTTATGTAGGTAGTACCTTTTTTTCTTTCGAAACACGCAAGATTACGTAACGCGAATACCAAAAGAAAAAAGGGCTAGGTTTCATGAAAAATATGAACTTTTTTTTGACATGAAATTATGCAATTCTTTTAGAAAAATCTCTTAAAAACCATTAATTCATTTTACAAGTGGGAAAATGATGATGTTGTTGTTGTTGGTGATGAAGACAAAGTCTTTGACCTTACGACACAATTCCTCAATTGTGCAATTATAATATAAACATTTACTTTTTTAATCCTGGGACGGCATCTTCCGAGCCGCGTTTGCTATCAGATGGTTTTTAGGGATCGAAACTGGTTTTCTTCCTCCTCCTTTCTTTCTTCATTTAATTCTTTACTTTTGCTGTTGTTGTTGTTTGTATCTTTTCCTTCATCATCCTCCTCCTCATCTTCATCATCATTATCATCAACATCCACCTCCGCCTTTGGCCAAAAAACGTGCTTCTTTAGTTGGGATTTTTATTACATACAATTACCAACAAAATTCACTTAACAAAGCAAAGTTTCAGAAAAAAATCCTTTTTATTGTAATTTACATTATACTTTTTCAGGATTTTTCAGTTAATAATCATAAAAAGTTTAGTTATGGTATAGGTTTTAGTTTGATATTCAATGGTTTCTCACAATTTTTTAGATGAACAAAAAACGAAAGAAATTATTTTAGAAAATATCAATCAATCAACTAAATCATTTGATAAAAAGGTAAAATTTTGTAGTTTTCTAAAAATAGATTATTTGACATATTTTGTGATGAATATAACTTGACTAGAAAATATAATTGCGTATTGACTTTTTAATTACAATAAAAGGTATAGTTTTTTTTTTAAAAGTTGATTATTTGATAAAATTTTTGATGAATAATAACAAAAATTGACTTGGAAACATCATTATATAATATTGACTAAATAATTATAAGAAAAAGTATATTTTTTTAGGTTTCTAACAAATAATTGTTTGACAAATTTTGAAATAATTATATCAAAAAATATAGTTTATTTAAATTTCCAAAAGTTGATTATTTGATAAAATGTATGATGAATAATAACAAAAATTGTCTAGAAAACATTATTGACTAAATAATTATAAGAAAAAGTATATTTTTGTAGGTTTCTAACAAAGAAATAGTTGACAAATTTTGAAATAAATATAAACAACAAAAAATATAGTTTTTTTCAAACTTCCAAAAGTTGATTATTTGATAAAATTTATGATCAATAATAACAAAAATAGACTAGAAAACATCACTATATAATATTGAGTAAAGAATTATAAGAAAATGTACAATTTTGTAGGTTTATAACAAAGAATTGTTTGAAATTTTTTTTAAATAATTACATCAAAAAATATAGTTTTTTTAAATTTCCAAAAGTTGATTATTTGATAAAATTTATGATGAATAACAATAAAAATTGACTAGAAAACATCATTACATAACATAGACTAAAGAATTAGAAGAAAAAGTATTATTTTGTAGATTTATAACAAAGAAATAGTTGACAAATTTTGAAATAAAAATAAACAACAAAAAATATAGTTTTTTCAAACTTCCAAAAGTTGATTATTTGATAAAATTTATGATCAATAATAACAAAAATAGACTAGAAAACATCACTATATAATATTGAGTAAAGAATTATAAGAAAATGTACAATGTTGTAGGTTTATAACAAAGAATTGTTTGAAAATGTTTTAAAATAATTACATCAAAAAATATAGTTTTTTTTAATTTCCAAAAGTTGATTATTTGATAAAATTTATGATGAATAACAATAAAAATTGACTAGAAAACATCATTACATAACATAGACTAAAGAATTAGAAGAAAAAGTATTATTTTGTAGATTTATAACAACGAAATAGTTGACAAATTTTGAAATAATTACAACAAAAAATATAGTTTTCTTTATTCTTGTGACAAGAAACTTGATCTTACCTAAATTTGTAATTTTTGTCCAGCGATTCTTCAAAATCTTCAAATTTAGTTATTTTGAACTTAATCATCATCTAAGTAAGGATTATGTGTTTTTTTGTTATAATTGGTATAAATTATAGTTTTAGTAATAGGAATTCAATTTCATAACAGCTTTATTAATGATTACATAAGTTATTAGTAATAATATTTTTTCTCTTTCAATATTAAAAATTTATGCGCGATTATACTTGATCCAATCCAAGTACGAGTAAACCCTCAAGTATACATCGGGTTTATCTGAGTCGCATTCATCTGATCTGGAAATTCCCAACAAATATCCTTTGTTATCAACCAAACCGTTACCAAAATCTTCCGTGCAAAGTCCAACTCCTGGAGCAGACACGGTGCAAAGATCATCACCAGTAACATTGTTCTCAGGCAACAAAGATTGACATTCCTCCACACCTATGGTTCTTTGGTACGCGAACTCCAGGTTAGGATTATAGTCCAAATGAGTATAACCGCTCACCATAACATTAATATCATCCTCGGTATCATAAACCGGTAACCTAATAGCATCAAGAGTATGATCAAACTCGTAAGGATAGAACAGCTTCAAAATTGCGATATCGTTGTCGAAGGTTTCAGGATCGAACTTTTCGTGGACGATTACGTGACTGACGTCGCGACTTTCGCCTCCAGTATACCGGTTAATCGTTCCCGCAACGACCGTCAATCCAAAAGTGTGTTCTCTGCAAAAAATCGAGTTGTTTTCAGGTACGCAATCAAAGATTTCTACTCACTTGTAGACGCATCTGGCTGAAGTGAGGATTGTCGTTTCATCAAGAATGGATCCTCCGCAAAGGGTTATACCTTTCTTCACCGCAACAGCATGCGCGAATTGACCAATGGAAGCTTCGTATCCGTTGATGATTCTACCATTATAAGCTGAAGAAATCAACCAAAAAAATCAAACAAATTCATTAAAAAAAATCATTAAATTACCAGAAGATAAATGCAGACAAACTGCGAGGAGTAACGATAACTTTACGAACATTTCGACTGAACGTTTCAGATTGTATCAATCGACTGAATCGAAAAAACATGTTTATATAGATTTTCTGTGCAATCGATTAACGGATAAATTAATAAAGGCATGAACCACTTCAATACATTACGAACGAATCTAAATTTAAATGCAATTTGCAAAGTCACAGATAACTTTTTTTTGTATTTAAAAAAATATATCTGATGTAGACGTAGTAAAATATCAATATCATCCAAGACAATACTAAAATATTATCGAGAACGATAGTAATTGAAATATTAAGAATTTATATTAAAAATATCTGAGTTTTATTATAATTAGAAATAAAAAGTTCATTAAAATAACTAAGATAATATTTTAGTTCTAATTTATATAAAGGAAGTCCCCTTTTTCTTTGATCTAATCATAAAATGCTGTTATTATACGAAATAGAATGATTTTCTGATTAATTCATAATTAGGAAAAAAATACAAAAAATATTCCAGATGAAATCAGAAAACATAATTTTTGTATATAAATAATTGTAATTTAATGCAATTTCTAGAAAAAATTATATTTATTATTAATTTCAGAAAATATTAGATAAAAATTGATTGAAAAATTAAGAATTAACATTAATTTTGTGAATGAAAACGTAATATTTTAATAAATGTATTAAGAAGTACACGAGTTGTAGCAAACATACATAAAGTTACTAATCTTATCTTTTTTTGTATCAATTCAAATGATATCTTTCTATCTGATTAAATCACTGCTAATTGTTTACAGTAATTTTTTAATTGATTATTTCGTATCAGTTTGTAAACTAATGAAAAACATATTATAAAAAAAACAACTATATTTTTTTAATTTATATTATTACAAGTAATTCGTCCTTTTTCTATTCTCAATCTTACATAATAAACAAAAGTTTAGCAAATATTTATTATTTTTTCTATAATAATGAACTTTGTCTATTTTTTTTATTTAAATTTTGGTATAAAATGAACTAAAAGTTGCATTAATTGAGATAAAGAAGAATATGAACATAATTAATAAAAAAATAATATTTTTATTGCATTTCTTATATTGTTTAGTATTTATGAAATTATAAATTAAAAATAAATAACAGTTTTTTTTAACATTTGACAAATTTTGCCAAAAACAAGGAAATAATAATGTAATTTCATAAATATTACTGATTCTTGATTTTTTTTTACATGACTTTTTTCTATTAAGAAATTGAATATTTTATTTGTAATACTTTTTTTTCTACAAATGTTATTAAAAAAAATGTTAAAAAAGTGAGAACTTATGAGTATAAAAAGTATTGAATTATTTATGATTTGCCAACGTTTTCTAATGACTTGTTTCAAAAACATGGACTCATCTAGTTTATTAACAAACAATTATAACATTGGTTAAAGGACACTTTAAATCAATAAATTAATTGTTGAAGGTACATAATTTGATAAGAGATTACATGGACAGAATAGATTTAGGAAATATGAGTAAAAATGTAGATAATTCAATGAATGGAGTTGCAGTGAAGTAAAAGTAGTAAGAAGGACAGGTAAGAAGGTTTTATAGTTGCATTTGTGCTTGCTTTGAAGAAGATTTAAGAATTAAGATAAATTTTAAGATGTATAAAGGCTGATTCATTAAACTAAATTTGAAGAAAATATAAAATTAATCATGTTATATTAACATTTAAAAAAACTCTGAAATATAAAAATATTGTTTTTTTTTAATAATTTGATACCTATATAAAATTTCGATGAAGTAGAAAATATAATACTATTGATTTATTAAAAGAATGAATAAGTTTTTTTGGAAATAATCATCGTATGTTAAAGTTATTACAAACTGTGAAATGTAAGAAAATTGATTTAAAAATTAAAAAAATTAATAATATATACATGTAACTTGATTTTTATATAAAACTTTGAAAGAAAAATCTAGAAACTATAAGATTTATGTAAATAATGAAGTTTTTTGAATTTTTTTAATTACATACAAAATTATTAATCTTTGTATGTTCAATTATGAAATTTGATATTATCTTGTTATAAAATTAATTAAGTTGCTAGTTTTATTACCATTATTATCCTTAATTAAGAAATATTATAAAATGTTAAGTTTACGACAGAAAGACCTATGGTCAATAGCCTTTTGAAGCAGTTACCTTTTTTTATATTTATTGTATTGAGTTTTTATTTTGCAATTGTTAATTTTATTAATTGAAAAATTAAGTAATTTATTCTGAATAAATTTCAAGAATGCAATAGTTTAAGAGATGAATAGTTTATCTAGAGATATGCTAGAGACTTGGGCTCATCTAGTTTATAGTCATAAACATAAGTTTACACTTTTTTCTAAAGAAATTTGAATGAAGAAAAACTTTTGAAAAATTACATAATTTATTTAAAGATTACTTGAACAGATTGAGAAGTGTGAGAACATATAGATTCAAGAAATATGAGTATGAAAAAATAATTGTAGATAATCTAATGTATGAATTATGATCATCTACAGATTTGCTAACGTATTATAATGACTTGTTTCAAAGATATTAACTCATCTAGTTTATGGTTAAATAACACATTTATTAACATATTTTAACAACTTTATTATTTTTCAATCAAGAAATTATTTGTTCTCATAATTATATTATTTTTTTAAATTTTTTTGAACAGAATGAGATTTGTGAGAATATGAATATGGAAAAATAGATATTCTTTATTATCAATAAATAATTACATAATTTGTTTAAAGATTAAATAAACATAGCAAGATGTGTGAGAACTTATTGATTTAGGAAATATGAGTAATTGTAGATAATCTAACGACTTGTTTAAAATATATAGACTAATGTAGTTTATAGTCAAATTAATATATAAAGTGAGTCGACTTATTTATATTTTATATTGAGAAAAATTTAAATTAAGAAATTCTTTGTTATCATAGAAAAATACACAATTTTTTTGTAGTTTACATAAATAGAATAAGATGTTTAGGAACGTATTAATTTAAAAACTGAATGATTTATGAACAACTACAGATTTTCTAATGACTTGTTTCAAAGACATGGATTAATTTAGTTTATGCTCAAACGATTCTAACATAGGTTTACACAATTATTGACATATTTACATCAAGAAATTCTAAAGTAATATTTTGTTATCATTGAAGAATTACATAATTTCTTCAGAGATTTCATGAACAGAATGATGATGAAACAATAAGTGTACATAATTTAGGAGTTTGAGTGAAGTAGAAGTAAGTTTATGGACAAACGATCATTTCCAGGACAATTTAAATTGAGAAATTCTAAAGTAATAAATTTGTTATAATTGAAGAATTTCATAATTTGTTCACAGATTTCATGAAAAGAATGATGATGTAACGATAATTTAATGAATGAAGTTTGCTGTGAAGTAGAAGTAGTAAAAGAAGGACAAGTTGAAGAACGGTTTTATCGTTGTATTCAAGCATTCGTGCTTCCTTTGAGGAAGTCTTGTCCAACGATTCCCGCGAATCCTCTTTGTTTATATTATGATTTGTCGTGCCTGCATATACATACGCTACGCTAGTGTACGTATTTGTATATGCAGTAGTATATATGCCAATTAGACAACTACTGACACACACAAACACGCATCCTTACGCACCTCGGCCACGTCCTCACGTAGCCACCACGATGTGAACTCCAGAGACTCACATTGTGGATGGAATACGAATACATCCGTGTGTGTGTCGCCTCCCCGCGTACCCATATCCATATCCATCCATAACCCATCCATCCTTTCAACAACGAAGCACGCACATGCAGAATTCAAGCTGCAAATTGGCACATTAGCGCTGCATAAATTCGCGGAACTCGAACTGCGACGCACTTCTTCTACTTCTACTTCTTCGTCCGTCCAGTCTGTAACGCTGCACAGGAATCGACAATTGTGATGTGCGAAGCACATTGCATAACGCATTATGTAACCTATCCGACTGACCGGCACCATCTCTTGATTCCTCGTTCTTTCCAGTCTGTTCTATTCCAGGTTTACTTTTCCTGGACTCCTACTTTTTCCGAAGAAATGCGAAGAACTGTTATGCGATTGTCATTCAGAGGTTGCGCGTCTAGTGGGATTCGGTATCAGTAATCCAATGGTATCGTCTATCCTAATGAAGTCACAGAAGTAAGGAAATCGTTTAAGTTCAAGTGAAGCCTTGAATACGTTTAAACGTTGCCTTGCTGCAACTGTTTGAAAAAATAAATAAATAATAAAAATAGATAAAAATGAAGCAAAACATTCATTGCTTTTATCGTCTTACGTAACCTTGCGCCAATCAATAATTACGTAATTGATCGATCTGTGTAATTCCACATATATATCTCTTTTTTTTCTTCTTCTAATTGGTGCATTGTTGCATAACATCATTTATCATTTGATTAATCCAGTTTTATTATTATATATTAATTTAATTCATATCTCAATAAGTAATTAACATTAAACAAACTTACTTAGAATATTTCATTTCTTTGTTAATATCAAAATACTTAGATAATTTGTTTGTGTTGTATTAAATTGTCTGAAATTAAATATACTTAATAATTAAAAAATCTAATAATTTTGCCCTATTTGATTAAAAATTGTAAAAAATGCATTTTCATTAAGTTGATCAAATTGGACAGCTTATAACTAATGAATTAGTAATACCACAAATCTATAAGTAATCTTATTAGAAAAGCCCTAATTTTATCTTTAATTATCATTTTCTATGATCAAATTAACGTACATGGTTGTTGAGTAATTGAATAAATGCTGAAGACATGATTTTTTTTTTAAATTGCCATATTTCCATAACTAATTAAGATTACTCAAAATAAGTTATAAGATATTATAAGCAATGAAAATGCGCTTCTTAAAAATAATTTAAAGTTTATAAGTTTTTGAAAAAAAAAAGATAAAATTAACAAAGTTTTCTAGCTCAAATTAGATAACAAAAAACAAGGCATAACTTGATCACTAATTAAGATTTCTTTCAAGAAGTTAT